GCTGGTTCGGTGAATAAAAAACAGTGGATATTTAAGTATTTTATTGTGATAGGTTTTACTGTCCTACTTTCCAGCAGTTCACCTGGGGGCTGACCTCGAGCTTCACCCACGAGGGACCTGAGCCCCTGGTCCCATCTCCAGCAGCCGCGGCTGCTCCACTTGACAGTCTCCATGGGCGAGAGACTGAAGATTTGTGTCCACCCAGATCCTGTGTGGAAACCGTGCCCTGCAATGTGATGGTGCTGGGGGACGATAGGATCATGAGGGGGCCCCCCACGAAGGGGAGACTGGTACCCTGGTTAAAGGGGTCCCACAGGGCTCCCTCTTTCCGCCACATAAGGACACAGGGAGAAGTCAGCAGTTTGCAACCTGGAAGAGGAGCCCAGATAGAACCATGTGAGTTGGGCGCTGAGCATCGTCGTCCCTGACTCTCTATGGGGAAGCCGCCCTGTTCCCCTGGCTGGCCTGAGGTGGTTCTTCCTGCCAGGACAGGGGTTCCTTTCTCTGCCTGCTCATCAGTCCACGAAGAGCCCAAAGGGACCAGATGGCTACTGTGACTTGAAATTCAATGGGATATTTGCTGTGTCCCCTCTGGGAGCCCGACATGCTGCACAGCCCAGAGTTGGAGCTCAGAGGCTGTGGCTGCCCGAGGTCTGTGGGGCTGTGCTCACTCCAGGCTCCGCCCAACCTACCTCCCCACGTCCATCTCCCGCCGGCCCCAGAGGCACGTGAGTTTGCATCCCTGGTCTAGATCATGACCGTCATCCAGCCCCACTGTCAAGTTCTCATGCAGAGGTGAGCTTGAAGGAGGCTTCTTTCTCCTTTCTCTTGGAAGGCATTTCCTGCAACTCCCACTTGGGGGCGCCACCTCTCTTGGTCTTGGGTCACAGGTTTATTCCCGATATCTTTTTTTTTTTTATCCTGACAGTGTCTTTGGCGTGTCTCATGCTTTGGGCTTTGTTGTAAGTTGGTGGGTGGGATCGAGTGGAGAAGTTGTGATGCCTTTGAACCGACAGCCTCTGCACTTGCACCCTGGGCCCACAGGCCTGGTATCTGAGACACAACACGGGACATGTTCTTAACATCTGTCATCTGAAGAGTAATACCATTATTTACAATGTGTATGCATGTATACATTTTTGTTTATTAATTCGTTCAGTTATCCATTCCTTCTTGGTCCTGTGCCACAAAGAAACGAGGTAATCCTATTAAGTATTGAACGACGTTGTAAAGAACACTGTAAACAAACAGCTCAGAGCATGCTTGTGGCTAAATTGGCTTGGGGTCTGAGTTGTCCAGGCAGCGTAATAAATTACTACAAAAGGCAGTGGCTTTATATACAGCCACCGATTTGCTCACGGCTCTGTCGTCTGGGCAGGGCTTGTCTCTCCTCCGCATGGCATCAGCCAGGCTGGCAGGTCCAAGGTGGCCTCTCAAACTCCTGGGCCTCTTTAATGTGGACTTTCTCTCCAGCGGGAAGCTGGACTTTAACTGAAGTATTGCAACCACAAACGCCCGCTTTACGCTTTCATTGCATAGGAACCTGTATGCATTTCTGTGACTGCCACAAACCAGGAGGCTTTAAAACAGCAGAAATGTCTTCTCGCCCAGTTCTGGAGCTTAGAAGTTCAAAATCAAGGTGATGGCAGGGCCACAATCTCTCCGAAGGGGAGAGTCCTTCCTTGCCTTTCTCAAGGCTGGTGGCCCTAGATGTCCTTGATTTGTGGCATCGCTGTCTCTGTCTTCATGTGGCCTTCTTCCTGTGTGCCTGTGTGTCTCTCAGTGTCCCCTCCTTGTGTGGTAAGGACACCAGTCATCGGGTTGAAGGCCCACCTTAATCCAGGAGGACTTCATTTTAACTAATTATGTCTGCAAAGAGGATATTTTCAAATGAGATCAGATGAGCTTTAGCGTCATCTTGCCTAAGCCACCGATCCATTCACTCACTTAATAAATAAACGTGATGTGGGCCAGGCACTGTCCTAGGTGCTGGGGACACAGCAGCGAGCAAGACAGACAAAGATCTCTGTCTTGTTAGAGAGACGATGAGCAAAGACGTGTGGTCTAAGGCACTAAAACACAGAGCCCCCTAGATGGAGACGAACACCATGTGCAGGGGGGTGGGGCAAGCTGGCACTGCCAGCTTTAAAGGGAGGTGAGAAAGGACACAGGGGAGCCAAGGCTTGGAGGGAGGAGAACAGCCTCTGCACTTCCCAGTATGCCATGTCTCGCTCAGTCCTCTAGGCCTTGTTGAATTTTTGCCTTTCCTCAAGGGACCACCGTGCCTTCCTCTCCATCTTTTGAATCCCATAGCCTCTGAGCCCCTGGAGGTGGCCTGCAGTTCACCAGGGTAGCCACAGGGGGGCAGTGCTTACTGCAGATTGGGCTCCTCACTCAGCTCCGGGGAGCTCCGGCTGTAAGTGGCCAACGCAAATCTGTTTCTCTTCGTCCTTCAAAGGGCGGCAACTTTTGGCTCCGAGGCGCAGGTTTCTTTGAATTATTTTATGGCTCTTTGTTTCTCCACCTCTGCCTCTCGAGGATGAGGAGAGCATGCTGGGGGGAGAGGGGCCGTTCATGGCGTGAGTGGAGGGTGGGACTCTCCCTGGGGGCTGTCGAGATGACCACAGATGTAGGGTTTGGGCTGGGATGAGGAACTTCGGCTCAGAGAAGGAGAGTGAGTGACCCAAGGTCACACAGCTGAGTGGTGTCAGAACTGCACCTTCTGATCCCTGGACCAGTTATTGTGGCCCTCTGCCTGCTTCCCCAGGCCTGAGATGCAGATGGAGTCAGGGGCGGGGCAGGAGCGGGGGCGGGGGGAGGGGCGGGATGAGCACTGAATTGAGAGTCCAGAGATGTGAGCTTCACACCCAGCTTTTGAGAAATGGGATCAGAAAGGGGGACTGTTACTATTGGGGTAGACTTTTAAGATCCAGTTTTCTTATCTGTAAAATGGGAATAAGTAATTGAGCGGAACCCACCTGTAGAAACCGAAGGTGGGGTGAGACCTGGATTCTGACCCCTCGATGCCAACGTTGGGAGAACTTTTAAAATGACTCCACCTTTGGGGAATCAGGTACAGCTGGTCTTAGAGCCCACTTCCCAGCTGTGTGATCTTAACCTCCCTGGGCCTCCTTTCTTTCCTCTAGAAAAACGGGTTTAATAATATTAGAGATTAAATGAGATAATATAGGTAAAGAGCTCGGCCCAGTCCTTGGCATGCTATAAATGTTCACTACATATTAATGCAGGGTCGGGGTCTGGGGATGGGTAGCTAAGGTCAGAATGGAGCTGGGGAGGCTCGCATAGAGTGAGGTTAGCAGCTCGAGAACACCCAGTCATTTCCTCGGGTGGGTGACAGAAGGCTGAGGATCCAGGCTTTAGACTAGAAGTAAAGATACAGTAAAACCCCCAGCAGCTGCTATTTCTTGAGCACGTGTGTTATTTCTCACAGTCATCCAAGAAGTGGGCACTATCGTCCAACCCATTTTATAGCAGTGGTGACTGAGACTGAGTAACTTGCCTAGATGTGCACAGCCAATACATAGCAGAGCCTGAACTGTAGGATGTCAAAACCATGGAGCTCCGTCACTGTACGGTAATGTGTTCCGGCTTCCTAATATTCGGTTACTCTCGGGATGATAAAATCTCCAGGGACTCATTGTGTCAAGTAGAATCCGATGACCATCTCTCACAGATAGTCTCCAATTCTTCTAAAAAAAAAAAAAGAAAAACCCAAACGATACAAGAATCATAAACTGGTTCCAGGAGAGAAGTAAACCAACCTTAAAAAAAGAGATGAACCTTTTACGATTTTATTTATTTTTACCTTTTTACTCTGATAATTTTCACAATCACATACAGTATGCATATGTGTAGTATATCTCCTGCTCAGCTTTAATGGTTATCAACATTTGCCATTTTGTCTTACCCATTTCTCAAGAGGGGTTTTTCGAAATTTTACTTTAAAAAATCGTGTTTAACCCACTGCAATTTTTCCTCCATGCAAATTTCTCCCTGGCTTTATTGAGATATAATTCGCATATAACGTTGTATAAATTTAAG